TGTGCTGCGCTGGTGCTGGCTCGCCAGCTGCAGCTTTGTCACGCTGGCCACGTGACCTGGAAGTGTCTTCGGACGGCGCCAGCTCACAGCCTCTAGAGCGAGATGAGCACGCAACCCCAGAGTCGGACACGACTGGCCCGTACGGGCAGGGGTACCTTTACCTTTACCTTTTTAATTGTTCATGCAAGCATGGCTGCAGGTATTTCGAACTGAGGTGGTTTCCTGCTTCACTTTCAACTCTTTAAAAAATGCAGGGTAAGAAGTATGAGCCTTGAGTCATAGGTTGCCACCTATGAAATGTGTACCTGTGAGCACAAGCCTTTGGATTAAAAAGCAGAATAGGATATAAGTCAGGAAAACCTTTCTTCTCTATGGGACATTTAGAGAATGGGGAATCTAACCGGACTAAAAGTAATTGTTTGTTAAAATAAACACATTGTAGAACAAAGGAAAAGAAAAGCTGATGGAAGAGAAGTACTGCATTCCTGTTATTGTGCATCCCAGAACCACAAGAAGGGAGAGAAATATGATCTGAAATAAGCTTAAGAGGTTCTTTAATTAAGCCTGGATTAGTACAATAGCATAATATACCTGTTGCCCTTCTGCAGGTAAGTGGCAGACTAGCCTGAGGTTGTCTGAATGGCTCCTGTTTTTATATTTGGAAGATCCTGCTCTTACATCGGCAGCCTGGGAATCGCTTTGCTGTCTCTCTCTGTATCTCTCAAGTTTTTAAAAGACAAAATTTGTTCAAACATTGCATCTAAGAAGATAGACCCTGAAATGTGTCAAACTGGCAACTGTGGTGCTAATTCAATTCCATCAGTGGAAACAATCTTATACGTACTTAGGATGGAGACAGCCAAAAGATTGTGATTCTTGCCAACTGTTCCTTTTTGTGGCGCCCTTTGTATATCTGATTTGGATGACGATGAGCATTTTTTGAAAGGGAACAAATTAAATCAGTGGCAGACATCCTAAGAGAGATGCTGTACTGTGTCCTTTCTTCATGTTACTTTGCTTAGTGAACCTCAGTATCAGTGTGGGAAAGACAAAACCTGGGACTTCCTGTAACCCAGTATTGGGCCGCTCATAAAAGTCATTTCGTTTGAAAGTGACCTGAAAAGGGATAGAGGGGGAGCACTGCAGCATTTGTAATTGCCAACTCATGTGTATAATAAATCCCAATTCCTTTTCTCCGTTTAAGAAATTCCAGCCTCTTTTCCCCTGCTCTTAAGATTCAGGACTCTTACCAAGTGGTACATTAGTTGAAGCTCTGTGCCTGCACTCTCTCTGTATAACATCCACACTCGTTGGGGCTTTTCTGTTATATCCAGCATAGAACTTTAACCAATATATATTTTATTCACTGAGTAGCCATTGCCCCTGAACTCCTAAACTAGTTGGTTTTGTTGTTGCTTACTTCATGTGGAAGAGATGGATGGATGCAGAGCTCTGTTTTCATGTTTGAGCTTTCCCAACAAAACTTTTCACCATCTCAGCCTCCCCCCTTTGAACTCTTTAAGGTTTCAATTAACATTAGCAGTTGAAGGCTGAAATGCATACATCTTCTGATGCTTTTTGCTTGTTAGTCAAGAGGCGGCCTTGACCCCAGACCAAACTTTCCACATTTAAAGGCTAGAGAAACTGCTGGTGTCCCAGTAGTGCCAATCTAACACCAGCTTTCGGACTGACTAAAGAAGCTCGCAAGAACTGATCCAGTGTCCCAGGGATGAGCATTGGCAAAGCAAATTGACAATACCACCCCCTGCTTCTTGCTTCTAGTATGTCATAGACAGAAAGAAGCACTTGAGCATGGGAAATACATCTTCATCTGTCATGGCTAAATTCGACTGAAATGTACCCTCCACTAACTTGTTTAATCTATTTGAAGCCATTTGCCTTTTTCGTTTCAACACACTGGGTTGACATTCTTGGTGGACTTTCTATTATGTTCAGTTTATTAGGTAGCTGCAGCCAACTTATGAATGTGCATTGTGTAGTTATGATTGTTTGTCCCTAGCGTGCATTACTTTGCTCTTACTAGCAGTGAATTTTATTTGTTAGTATATTTGTTTATCCAGCCAGTGTGGATAGATCCCCTTCTGTCTTTTTTCATGACTGTTTTGAGCTTTGTTATTCTGTTTACATTGGTGATGCTGGTAAACAAAACTAGAAGCTTATTCAGTCTTATCTCCAGATATTTTATAAATAATGTAAGTAGTACAATCCATATAGAACTTCCAATATATATTACTTTCTTTTATAAGAAGCATCCATTTACTCATGCCTAATTACTTTTGAAGTTGCACCTTTCAAATCCATGACCTTTTAAAAATGTGAAATATTTTGGCAATAATGGATATAGGGTTTTTATGTATTCATTCCTACGTTACAGATAGGCCTATTTATAATTATATGCAGTGAGAACCTTTCGTTGTTTAATATGGCTTTCAACAGGGGAAACTGTTGCAGTCTTTCACAGATGGTTAGCAGTGTGTATATATAGCGTGGAAGTGCTTGTGGAAATGGTAGTTGTGTTCTTCTTTGTGTTGTACTGGAAGAAAAGTGGGGAACATTAAGATGGTGATGTCTTGAGTGGCAGAAGTTTGGCAGCTTGACCTGGAAACCTCACTGACTTGAATTTATTCCTGCTGACTTGTTTGGAGCAATGACACTGTGGTCCATTGAAAATGGTCTCCCATGGCTTTCCCATGTGACTTTTTTGTTTAAATGAATCCCTGCCACGTTTAGCCTTAGCGATATTCTCCAAGAGATGGCTGTGTAATGGATGGTGCAATGACTTTTCTGCAGAAAGATTGCATCCACCACTTTTTCTCCTTTTAAGTCAAAGAGAACCATATGGCGGTTGTCATTGGTAAATTAAACTTGTGCTAATGGGCAAAGCTACTTCTTGGTCTCTGTGATGAATTAATAGTAATCTGTAAAACCAATGAAGGCAAAGCACCTCTTTACACAATCTGTTACCTTGGCCCAAGGTTAATGTTTTGAACTCACTTCAACCTCTGACTTGTTTACAAATCCATGGCCGAATTAGAAGTTGAAAGGAGGTGAAAGGAGGTCCACAACCCCAACCATATCTATGGTCCTTAATTCACCTTTCTTTCATTACTGTAATGATCAGCTGAACAGCAGCAAAATTACCTATGGAAGGTGATATTTAAAATCCCCTAGAGAAACATGGTGACCTTGAAGTTGGTTTAAGATTCTGCCTTGCTCTCAACCCAGTAACCGCAGTTTCTCCATTTGGATGAAATGGGAACTACCATTTATATATTTTATGCTGTTGAGAATTGCAGCATGGCAAGAAAAGAGGAGGGACGAATGATTAGAAGCAAAGTATTTTTCAGGTGGCAACTTGGGTGACTAATTTCATGTATGTAACATTGGATATCCCTGGGCAGCTTTGAAGTATTGATGACATCTCTATGAAAATAAGTGGCAGGAAATGTGTTCTCAGGGACTAGGAAAGGAAGAAGTTTTTCTTAAAACATTTCTAGTCCTAGTGTGGCCTTCATTGACTCTGGGGAGCAAAAGCTTTGTAGTGACTAGTGAGCCCAGCAATGAAGAGAGAAAAATGTCCAGGGCTCTTAATCTGTTACTTTGCATATGAGAAGTTAACCCTTTCAGGTCCACACTGAAAACTATTGTTGGAAGTTCAATTTCACTACTCTCATCTATTTCTTCAGAGTGTTGTTTATATAGCATAAAAGGATTTTTTTTAAAAAAAGTGAACAGGTGAATGGCTAATGAAAACATAGAAATGTGTGTGTGTGTGTGTGCTGGAAGGGTAGGAGCCTCCAAAGAGGCTCTTTATGTCCCGACTGTGACAGAGACATGATAAATAGGGACTAGAGAGAAAATCTTCTCTGTGGTCACACCTAAATTTTGGGACTCTGTGCCCTTGGAGATTTTATTGGCCGCCTCTTTTATGGTGTTTCGCCATGAGGCAAAACCTTTCCTGTTTTAGGCAGGTGTGTGTTTTATTTGGAAATTTTTTTTTACCTGGAGTTGTGTTTTTTTATCTGACGCCTTACTTTATCTGCTGTTCTAGTCTATTTGTGTTATATTGTACCTTATAAATTTTTATTGTACTTTTTGGTTGCTTTTGATTGCTTTCAGCTGCCCAGAGTGGAATGTAGGCACCAGATAAAAATGTTCCTATAGATAAACAAGGCCTCTGAATTGTTTGATAGTAAATAATGTTATTCCGAATGAAAATTATTGGCCTTAAGAGCTCTTGCGGTTAAAAACAAGCATAGTTAAAATTCCTTTTGGTGGAGAGGTAAAAGGGGTGGAGGGGGTGGGGTGTGTGTATCCCTCTAAGTCTCCAGATAGAACAGAATCCTACAGCCTTCCCACAGTCATTCTCTGGCTGCTTGGGTGCTCTCCAGCTCACAGACATCCCAAACAGAACTGGACCTCTCTCCTTTTAGTACCCTGCATGCATTGTTGTCTCACAATGATTGGCTATTGGACTAGAAACAGCTGTACCAAGCCTTTGGTTTGCAAAAGAGATTACAGGCCTTTCTCATAGAGTCTGATTGGTTGGCAGTGTGTGCTGAGAGAGAGAAGGGCCAAAGTAGTAGTAGTAGTACTAGCTGCTTCTAGGCAGTTTGATTACCGGTACTTTTGTCCTAGAGTTCCTCTCCAGCTGTCAAATGAATGGGTTCCCTCCACCAATCTCCCTCCCCACCCACCCTTTCCAACATCAGTGATTGTTTGGGCAGGCTAAGAAATCTAGCAGGCAGGTTTGGTTTCAAAAAACAAAACAAAACAAAAAACAAAGGCGTTTCTGTTTTTTCTTTGTAAGAAAAAGAAAAGAGAGGAGGTAGAGGCTGGATTGTTATTTTAAATTTTTTTTAAAAATACAACTTTGTATGTAAATACGCACAAGCTGATTATAGGCTGGGGCACAAGCGAAGGTTTGGGTGAGCCCAGGGCTATTTACATGAGAATGTGCAGCCCGACTGGCTGAGCGCGTCTAACTTAAGGCAGCTCCTTGATTAGCATAAGACTGGGTGGCTGCCTTGTTTCCTGCCTTCAATAGCTATTCACTGTAGTCGAGGCGGAGAGGAGCAGGGAGGCAAGGCAAGGCAAACGCACCGGATTTGCAGAAAGCAAAGCGCGTTGGGCTTAATCTCGCGGTCCGGCTGCCCCCCAAGGCTGGAGGAGCTGGCACGGCTCGACGGGCGCAGACGTAGGCAAACACAGGCGGTGATGGGAAAAGAGGAATAAGCGTGCATGCGAGAAGGAAGGAAGGACGGCCGGCTGCAGGAGCCTGGAAGAGACGGGACTCGGGAGCCCTCGGCCATGATGACCATCTGCATCGAGCACCATCGCTGCTGCCTGTAGGTTTATGTACACCTTGAATGGGCGCGCGAGCGAGGGATCCTTGCTCTGCCAGTGCGGCAGGAGGAGCTGCGAGAGCTGCTAACGGGGAGAATGGTCGCTGCTGCTGCTGCAGCCATGATTTTTCGGCTGCTCCATTGATGTTTTGCTCGGATTCTGATAGGTTGGAGAAGGGCGGGGGAAGCCAGCCTTTGGCCGCTACCAGCACTTCCCCGCGATTCCTATGGCATTGCAGACCCGATGCTGCTTTGCTTTGCTCCCTGCCGTCTTTCGGGTCAAGCCCAAAGGCAGCCTGCTTTGCCTAATTCGCCCGGGCCTTTTGTGTTGCAGATCACAGTTGGCCGAGCCTTTCTGTGCTGAATCGACCTATTGTTTTGGGACCCCAGAGCTTCCACGCTGCAGATCGCTTCTCTTCTCCCCCCCTCCCCCCTTTTTTTCGGTCGCTCTCCTCCTCCTCCTCCACCGCCACTACCCCCCCGCCTTAGAAGCCACATAATTTGCCTCTCTTCCACATGACTCTGGAAGCTACAAGCCGGGCTTGAGCGCCAATGAAGTGTAATGCATTGTGGGACGTGTGTAAAAGAATTGGATCTTTCCAAGGGGGGAAAGGAAAGGACCTGCGGTCTGCTTGATGGACAAGGTAGTGGCAAAATGTTGCTTGCAGAGCCGACCCGAGCGGTGCCTGTAAAGAGACGTGTGTAAAACGAGTGCAGCGAGCAAGCCGTGAGGCCTCCTGGCTCATGCCGCTCCTGCTGCTGCTGCTGCTGCTGTTGCTGTTGCTGCTGCTCGTGGTGGATTAGACTGCAGGTAGCCTCAAAATGAAGAAGACGCGAAGTACAACCTTGCGGCGAGCCTGGCCTAGCTCTGATTTTTCTGACCGGGCCTCTGATCGCATGAGGTCCCGCAGTGAAAAGGACTACCGCCTGCACAAACATTTCCCCCCAGCTTTCCTTTCCCAGGCTTCACGGGGCTACATGACATCTGGTCAGTAACTGGCTGTGTGTGTGTGTGTGTGTGTGTGTATACATCTGTATGTTTGTTTCAAGGCATGGGCTCGCATGTTTGTTTATCTCCCCTGTGCTGTGTAAAAAAAAAAAGGGGGTTATCTTGTGACTGATTAACATAGGTTGTAATGAATAATGCAATTTCTTTTAAAGCTCACATCCACCATTTTGTACCTCAGGAAGATTCACAGCAGGGCCTGCTCAATATGGTGTTTAAAGCCTTCCAGCCCCCCCCCCGCTTCCCCCTAAAATAAATGGAGAGAAAAATGGTCAGATCAGTATTTTCAACGAATCAAAATGCCTAGTAGATGTGATCCCAGAAGTCTCTTCCCCCCCCTCCCAAATCTGCATCCCTGGTCTCCTTCTGCTAAATCATGATTACCAAATCAGATATTGTCTCTTAATCCAGCTAAATGCAATTATCTCAATAGGCATTTCTGCGTTTCATTTTCTAAACAACAACAAAAAGTGTCGCTGCTGTTGGGGGTTCTGTGAATAGAGCCTTCCTGTCCCAGTTGACTGTTTTTGTCTGGGGAAGTTCTTTTTGGTTATACAGAAATAAGTATAAATATAAACATTTGTGTGTTAGGAGGACAGGGTGTCTGTGGATATGTATCACATGTGTATGTTCATCTATTCAATTGCTTCAGTGGAAGCTCTTTAGAAATAATGGACACTGCACCAACATGCTTGTGCATGCATGGCAGGATAAGAGCACAAACAATAAAGCTGTGGAAGATTATAACAAGGGGAAACAGTCATCTTTTAATAAAAATTATGAAAGGAAATGCCTCATCCCTCCCTTTTAATGATGCCTTTATATTCCATTCATTCTATGATTCCCTTTTGAGATGTTCAGGAGGGAACAGGAAATAATCTTTAAGAGAATGTTGACGAGAAGGACAAAATATCTTGGAAGCCTCCTTTGTTGTTTGAGTGCTTCGTTAGTGTGACAACCCGACATAATGTTTCATGACCATGATGCCAAATATTCCATTTATCATCAAGGCATATTTTTCCCTGTGAGACTCACTTTAGCTTAGAGAAATGAAGATTTCTTATACGTATCTAGAAAAGGTTTTCCATCTCCTTCCTGTATCCCAACCCCAGTTTCAAGTCAAACTTAGTGGTTATCAGCAATTTACATACCTAACTTATTCCTTTGCATTCTAATAAATATGTCTCTTTAAACAGTACTGGAGAGGATTCTTGTGCTTTAAGAATCTCTTGTGAACATTCTTTTGTCAGCAACCATAAACATAAAGAAGAAATCTTTTATGGAAATATTACTTGACTAAGTTTTGGTGAACAAGCTTATCTGTTTTGCTCAGAACGTATGCATTAAATGAAATGACAAGTGTAATTTATGCTTTAAGGAGCCGAAAAGCAACTATATTGTTTATAGTTTGGTTGCTGCAGTACATTTAGCAACACACCTATGAGAAATCTGGCCTCACTGTATACACCTAGAATCTGAGCTGGTGTTCATTATCACAGTGCAGTCCCCTCCCCTCCCCAAAAAAGAGACAGATTTGGAACATTTTAGATCAGAATGATTAGATAATGCCCAACAGAATAGTCAATTAGTTTTCTGCATCTATGGAGGGGGAAAAACAGGTTTCTTTGTTTATCTTGAAAGCAGTGTTGTTGAAAGAGTTATCCTTTTAACAGATGTATTTCTCCTAAGAGTTTTATAGGTGACAATTAGCATGAATTAAATGCAAAGTATGTGTGTATTCATAAAAACAAACTCTGGAGAGCGGTTGCATGGTCCAGTTTGATTATCAGTACTGAGTTGTCTGATTCCAGAGGTGTGTGTATGTGTGTAAGTAATATAGACACATATATGAGTCTGTACTTGTTTGGGGGATGGGAAGGTAATGCCTATTGTGTCTGGACATTCTAAAACAGAATGTTACATCTTTGAATATCCTAGAGGCAATAATCTGCAGTGCTACAATGCAAGAACGTATGGTGTGGGGGGTGGGAGAAGAGGGAGCAGGTGACACATCCACTATGAGTAATACACTATAATTGTTAGGAGTATAGCACAAGTGGCAGTTGAAACAAGAATGATGTAAAGCACATCTAGCATGTGATACTGTAGCTGGAAAAGTAATTTTGGCCTCTTTGTGGGTTGACACTCTCTCTCTCTCTCTCTCTTTTTTAATGAACTCTGTCCTTTGCCTTTCCAAATATTGGTTTTGGGAGGAATGGGTACTGTATCTAAACACTTCGGCTATTTTAAAAGGAAGCTCTCTTCCTGACAGGAAATCTATAGGAAGTCGTCTTGCATAAAAGTAACAGTGACTGTGAATACAAATGCTTTCTTTGTCACCCAAACTGTTTTACAGGAGAGAGGGCCTTGAAACACATGGGCTTTTCAAGAGGGCTCCATTCTGTTTATCCAGTCATTTAGCCTAATTACTATTAGTATTGTTGTGGTCCCTTTTAAATAAGTGTTGTATTGTTTGGGAGATAGGAGACAATGTTGCTTGCTTGGGCTTGATCGTTTGAGCCCAAGGACATTGAGGGATGCAAGCAAGTAAATTGTTTTCTTCTCCCTCCCACACTCAAAAGACTGTAAACTCATTAGTATGCACTTTGAGTCTTCAGGATTGGGCATGGGTTTATTAAACAAGATCTAATTAAAAATTCTTTTTAAACGGTTCTCTCTAACCCCTCCCCCACCAATACATGTACACAAGATCTTCATGACTGTATCAGACCAAAGGCTACTGTAATCCAATATCCCAGTTCCTACAGTGACCAATCAGATGTCTTATGAGAGGCCCGTAGGCAGGACTGGAGCACAATGCCCCTCTCATGCTGTGGTTCACCAGTGACTGGTTTTTAGAGACATGCTGTTTCTGATCCTGGATGTGTTATACAGCCTTTGTGACCAGTAGCCATCAGTAGCCACATCCTACAGGAATCCCCTTTTTTTTGAGCCATCTGAGTTGGCGGCCATCATTTGGTGGTAGAGAATTCCATACTTTTTAAACATGCACTATATGAAGAGAAGTACTTCCTGTTGCCTGTCCTGAATCTCCAACCATTCAGCTTCATTGGATGACCCTGAGTTCTGGCGTTGTGACAAAAGGAGGAAAAAATATATCTACCCACGTTCTCTGCACATGGATAATTTTATGCAGCACTATCATGTCCCCTTTACTCAGATTTTTATTTTATTTTTAAAAAAAAAACCCCATAAAACCCCCAAACAGTGTAACCATTCCATATAGGGGAGTTGCTCCAACCCTCATTATTTTGGAACCGAAGGTCGGTTTTCCTGTAAATGGCTGTAAGAGTTTTGAGTGTTGTTTAATTATTTTATTTCATACAATTTGCATACCACTCGATTGTAAAAGACCTCAAAGTGGTCTTAACAGTTACTAAGAATTGTAATCTGACAGGGTATGTGCTTTTCAATAACAAAATGGTCCAAATAATTACCGTAGAAGTGCAACTGTCTACAAAGTTGAATGGGAGAGGGCTTCTTTTTAAAAAATTGCATTTACTTTATGAATTAGTAATATTATGAATTTATAGTAAATAACACCAGTACTTAATATTAGCATTTTGAATACTATTTTGAGTGGGCTACTAATAAACAGTGAAATGTTTTGAAAAAGCTGATAGACAACCCATGAAGAAACTGTTAGGTAAAGTAGTGATATTTTCACGGTGAGATTCTGTGCCTTTTGCTGATGAATACCGTATTTTTCGCTCCATTGGACGCACCGGACCACAGGACGCACCTAGTTTTTAGAGGGGGAAATCAAGGAAAAAAATATTATCCCCCCCCCAGCCCCAAAGAGCAACGGACAGGCTGCACGCAGCCTGTCCACTTCTCCCAGAGCTTCTTGGGGCTGCGGGGGAAGCCCGGGTTCCCCCCCAGTCCCAAAGAACAAAGAAGCCAAGACAGCGTGTGGGGTCCATAGCCGCGCAACCTCTCCAGCCAGGAGCTAAACCTCTCCAGTGCAGCTAAAGAAGAAGACAAGGCAGCAAGCGCGATCCATCCCGCTCGCTGCCTTGGCTTCTTCTTTAGCCTTGCGCAGCATCTTTAGTCTTGCGCAATGGGATGGATTGCGCCTGCTGTCCACCGGGGCTGGACTAGATGACTCCTGGGGTTCCCTTCCAACCCTGCAATTCTATGACCTCGGAAGGTGTTTGGGGTCTCCACCACTGGAGGCTTTTAAGCAGCGGTTGGGGGACCATCTGCCTGGCGTTCTTTAGCTGTGATTCCTACATTGTGAGGGGGCTGGGCTAGATGACCCTCGGGTGGCCCTCCCAACAGTCCTACACTTCTGCGGCAGGAGATCCACAGCCACTTCACACAATGCCCACTCCCAATTTTTATCTAATAGACATGTGGCTTCAGTGTCTAGGTAGGTACCCCCCTACCTGCCACACTTCCCCCACCCCACTTAAGCCGAGGGAATTCCTGCCCAGAGAAGCTTCCAGCAATCACGGAAGAGGAATCCGCTGCAGCCATGAGCAGCGGAGGATCCATGGTCCCCTTCCTTCCCTCCTCCGTAGTTGCTTTGAAGCAGGAAAGTGGGAGAGGAGCTGCTTACACGAGTGTAAGCTGCTCCCCTCCCACATTGCCACTTCAAAGCAATCACGGAGGGGGGAATCTGCTGAAGCCTCCAGCAGAGGAGGATCCATGGTCCCCTTCCTTCCCTCCTCCGTAGTTGCTTTGAAGGAGGAAAGTGGGAGAGGAGCTGCTTACACGAGTGTAAGCTGCCCCCCTCCCACTTTCCTGCTTCAAAGCAATCACGGAGGGGGGAATCTGCTGAAGCCTCCAGCAGCGGAGGATCCATGGTCCTCTTCCTTCCCTCCTCCGTAGTTGCTTTGAAGGCGGAAAGTGGGAGAGGAGCTGCTTACACGAGTGTAAGCTGCTCCCCTCCCACATTGCCGCCTCAAAGGGAGCCCGGGAGGAGGGAATCTGCTGCAGCTTCCCCCACCTCCAGCAGA